CTGGTGTGTGGTTTGGTTCATCACATGAACGGCAATTACTACCAACAAGACTATGCACCACAACTGTTCTAACTTAGCTTCCTTCCCTCCAGGGTCTGGTGTTCTCCAAGGGTCAGTATGGCCAGCCCAACTGCATGTACGTGGAGCCGCATTCCGGACGCTCCAGTTTTGAGTTCCAGATCTACTACGACAGCTGTGGCACCAAGCCGGACATGGGCGGCAAGTTCTACGAGAACACCATCATAGTCCAGTACGACGCTGAGCTCATCGAGGTATGTAGAGAACTGTAGACGCTCACGTGTTCGAGCCACAGCGAAAGAATACGATCACTTTCCGGTGTAGAGTGAGGTGTCAAGAGCTTGTTAAAAGGTATGTTCACTGAGACACAGATAGGTCGTTAGATTGGGTTGTTAGTCTTGTGACTAGTTTTTCTGCATCGCCTCCCACTTGTAATGTTATATATATATTATATATATATATATATTTTATATATCAATATTGTAACTTTTTTGTGTAATGACATTTTCAAATAAAGTTAGATAAATATACACACATACCAAAAGAATAGGGGTGGTAGGAGAAGAAAATATCAAAGTGTTCAGTGAGGATCCACAAGGTCTTCTCTGAGTACTCTTTATTTTCTTCTCCGAGGCTATGGGTCCCTACACTTGCACCAGAGGTGGTACCCCTTCTAGGTTTATATATATATATATATATATATATATATATATATATATATATATATATATATATATATATATATATATATATATATATATATATTTATGGGTGTCGTACCTAGTAGCCAGAACGCACTTCTCGGCCTACTATGCAAGGCCCGATTTTCCTAATAAGCCAAGTTTTCCTGAATTAATATACTTTCTCAAATATTTTTCTTATGTAATGATAAAGCTAACCCATTTCATTATGTATGAGGTCCAATTTTTTTTATTGGAGTTAAAATTAACGTAGATATATGACCGAACCTAACCACCCTAACCTAACCTATCTTTATAGGTTAGGTTAGGTTAGGTAGCCGAAAAAGTTAGGTTAGGTTAGGTTATGTAGGTTAGGTAGTCGAAAAAACAATTAATTCATGAAAACTTGGCTTATTAGGCAAATCGGGCCTTGCATAGTAGGCTGAGAAGTGCGTTCTGGCTACTAGGTACGACATATATATATATATATATATATATATATATATATATATATATATATATATATATATATATATATATATATATATATATATTATATATATATATATATATATATATATATATATATATATATATATATATATATATAATGTGTGTGTAAATAACGAAAAATAAACACGTGATTAAAAATGTGACAGTGTCAGAGCACGGAGGAAAATTGAAATAGGAATTTCCCTAAGAACTTTCGTATATTAATACATCTGCAGAAGGAGTCACTCCTTCTGAAGACTTCTCCTTCTCAAGCACTCCCTCTGAAGATGTATTAATATACGAAAGTTCTTAGGAAATTCCTATTTCAATTTTCCTCCGTGCTCTGACACTGTCACATTTTTAATCACGTGTTTATTTTTCGTATTTACACACACATATTATATATATTATATATATATATATATATATATATATATATATATATATATATATATATATATACATGCAAACAAGCCTGAATGGTCCCCAGGACTATATACAACTGAAAACTCACACCCCAGAAGTGACTCGAACCCATACTCCCACAACTGGTATGTACAGGGACGCCTTAATCC